GAAATGACCATTCTCATACTTGGATCTCTTAGAAGTGATTTTCTGTGATGAGGGCATGTAACATGCAGAAGGGGGTAAAGTGATGAGGGTTTGAAATAACCACTGTACTGCTTCAGTTCTTTTCTTAAGACTCTGAGCTCTTTTTTCTGTTGGTGTGTGATTTTTCACTCCTCTTGTTCTGGGAGCCATTCTTGGTTTTCTGAATGACTAATCCTCTCCCTGTAAGATGTGAGGGTATGTCTTTGAGTTTGAGCAGGCTCTGGGTGCTGGATGAAGCCAGTAACACTGACTAGAATGCTTGGAGGCAGAAATGGGCTTGCAGTCATCATGCTCTCACCTTGCCTTCTCCACCCTCACCATGCTGCTGGGGGGCTGTAGTTAGGAGGCACCAAGCCCTGCATAGCCATAGCTATCTGTAGGGAGCTGCATTGCTGCTCCCATGCATTCCCCCGGCTTCCTGCTGCGTGCTGCGGTATTGCCGATGGAGCAATGATATCACTTGTGGTGATATCTGACCCATCAGTGATCGCTTTCCCAACCTATGGATTTGTAATCCATCTCTGTCAGTGGATTCTCCTGAGGGGAGGGAGGCACATCTGTGTGAACTGGCGCTGAAGTTCATCTGGTGAGATGCCATGTCTCAGGCTTGTAAGCGCCTGACCGTATCATACAAATTCATCTGAAGTTGTCAGTCTGCATGCATATTGTAGGGGGTCCAAGCCCCACAACTTAGGTTGTAGGGTGTTTTTTTTTTAATTTTATTGTTTTTACTGAGGGCTCTCCTCACTAAAAAGGAAAAAGATTTTTTTGCAACAAAATTATGGACAAGTAGAGCCAGTTGTTACAAATTCGCAGCTTTTGAAGACAGTTACATATGTGCAGGTAAGTATTTACTTAACACTTTTTAATATTATACTTTTTCAAGGAAGCAAAGATAAAGTGCATGGAATTGCAGTGTGTGTCCGTAAGAAAATAAATCCTATATCAACTTCTTTAAATTCTCCAGACATACTGTCCTCTTAAAACATAGAGCAGAAACAAGTAGATTCAGAAGTGATTTAGGAGTTGGTGCCTGGCTAACTGGAGCTGGGATACTTCTAGGAAAGCATAGGTAGAAGGGTGGTAGGCAGTGTCCAAGAGGTGGGTATTTATGAAAGGTATTGATGGTAGAATATATAAAGCTGTTGCAAACAAATCCTTGAAGTTCTTTCTACCAAAGAAAATTATTTTTTTAAAAGTTAAGTAGTTTTGGTTTGCATCTAGGATTTTTATAGGCTCCATGCTTGTACAGATTTTCAGTAAGGATGGATAGTACCTTAATAGATTTGGTTGGTAAGTTGGTGGAGAGAGAGGAGAATACAGCAGTCTTGATTAAAAAAGAAAATAAAACAACCAGTTGATTCTCATTAGTGTCATAAGATCTAATTCCCTTATTTACATTTTTAAAGATAGAAATATGTTACTGAATCAGCAGATAAGGAAGGGTACCTCTAAAATTACAAAATTCTGTATAGTTGCTGTCTGAATTTCAGTCCTCTGAGAAACTAATTGAAATTAAATTTTAAAGTTTTAAATTAAATTTGACTTGTTAAAGTACATTAAGTCACTATTAAAATTTCATCATTTCAGTTCAAGCTAATCTCTTAGGAAATAAATTGAATAAGCTTTGGCTCAGTTAGTAGGGTCAACATTTTTTTCATCTAAAACCTGAAAAGTAAAAGCAAAAGTCAAACTTACAATATCCCTTTTAGAAGAAAAGAGCATGTAACTTCAGAAGTTATGCTTTCGTTGGTACAATATTGAGTAGACTTTTCTTTCTCATTTGCTTATTGTCAGTGCTTAAATGTTAAAGTTTTGTAGTCAAGTGGCTTATAAAGCTAATCAGCAATGGTATTTTTTCATGTGCTTCTGGAAAACAGGGCACCTGTGATACAGCAAGCTTCCCATGGTAGAGGCGGGTAATTCCCTGGTAAATTTGCATCTCTTCTATGGGATGAGTGCAAGTCTACTACAGTACTTGCCCACTAGAAAGTAATGTTTTATAGCTCTCTTTTGTGAATGTCTCTTGTGTAAAATAAGCATTTACAAGTGTAGAAATGTGAATTCTGAGATGACTACTGTTGGCACAGGGATGTTGGCAGGTGTACCTGGAACTACTGTTAACTACATCTGCCTTGCAATCTTTTACCAAAAGTGTTGCTGTTGGAAACCATCACTTTTATATTTATAAAATGCCAGTTTTAGCAGCTGTTTGGGTGAGTGAGATTCCTTAGATCTCAGATGAACCCTGATCAGCACCAGAGAACAAACACACTTGACCCTCTTGGCAATGTTGGATACCGCAGGAGTCACAGGCCTCTCTTGTGGTGAGAGGCTTCAGATGTACCTGCGCTTTCAATGTCTCTGGTGCTTGCAGGGCCACCAAGTGGTGATGTCTTGTCTTTACTTGTACCTCCCTGCAAAATAAATCACATGTAGATATGGATAAGAATTTCAGGAGGCATTAATCTGTCACAAATTTCAACAAATAGAATTCCACTTGGATGTAAGGAAAAGAAAAATTCCCAGGGAGGGTGGTGAAGCATGGGACAGGTGGCTCAAAGAAACTGTGACATACCCATACTTGGAAATTTTTAAAATCTAGGGGGATGAGGCCTGGAGCAATCTGATCTGACATTTGAAGTTAGCCCAGCTTGGAGCTAGGGGTTAAAATAGATGACCTCCGCGGGTCACTTCCAACCTCAATTATTAGGTAATTATATCTGCCATTCCACGGAGGAGCATTGTCTCTGGGAGGCAGAGTTCTTCAGGAATTTTGTGAGCTAGCCCTGTTAGCTGTATTTTTAGTTGGCAAGATTTAGAAGTAGCTGTGGAATCATAGTTGATATAGTAAATATACATCCCCAGGACCACCCTCTTTCCTAAGACTCTCAGAACTTTTAACTAAAACTGAATCCTTACCAAATCTGTGTAAAGCAGGTAAATGTACCAACTTTGCAGAAAAATACATGGAGATACAGGAATGGAGCTATTCATTGCAGGCAGTCGCGAGAAAGATAGATGTGGAAGCTAAGCAGCCCAGCTTCATGCTGTACTGCAGACATGAAAGCTTGGTGTAACTCTTCTGTACAGTTTGGGGAATATTTCTCTTTTTTTTTTTTTTTAAATAAATCCTATACCTTTCAAGTCATTCAGTAGAGTCTTTCTGGTGTTTATTACAAAATAACGAATCAATTTGTGATGGTAATGGGAAAGTGAGTGGGGCTGCAGCTGTCATAAGAGGGAAACCCATCTATGGCAAGGTCAAACAGAGTTCATAACTATATTTACTGTGCTACTTTTTATTTTTAATAAATTTTGGTGCTAATGTCTGTCTGCTTAAGTAATAAAAACATTTTCAGTAAGGGCAAGGATCACTCAGATTCTCATCTGATACAAAGAGTTTAAAGAAAGTAGATTCTATAAAAAAACTTGTGTGGAAATCTGGAAACAACTATAGCATGTTTGATGCTGTGAAGCATGCCTTAGCAAACCATTATTTTCTTAGGACAGCTGTAGTATGAATTAAGCATAAGCTTGTTTGTGATGTCTCTTCATCTGATGTGTGGACTGTGTGGGATAGTACCTACTTACCTGTACTTAGGGAGGGGGAAAAAAATAATCTTTTCTTTTTTCCTTCTGCTCATCCAGATCCACATCCAGAGAACAGAAGGGTGTGACCACATGACCTGTTCACAGTGTAACACTAATTTCTGTTACCGCTGTGGGGAGAGATATCGCCAGCTCCGGTTCTTCGGAGATCACACCTCAAACCTCAGTATCTTTGGATGCAAATACCGCTACCTCCCCGAGAGACCACATTTAAGGAGATTAGTGCGAGGCTCTGTCTGTGGTGAGTGGATAAATGGTCCTTGTGGAGAGCTGCACAATGAGGTGATTGGGAGGGAATAGTAACAGTTAAATAAAAACTGTTCATTTAAAGTATCATATGGGCAGCCTGTTTAGTTATGTAAAAGATGGTTTATTAAATATATTTATTTTTATTTCTTTATATTTATATA